CATTCATTCGTGTGTGTGTGTGTGTGTGTGTGTGTGTGTGTGTGTGTAGGGAAGATGGAAGCATAACAATCCAATAAACAAACAAATATTCAAACACTACCACAGGTGCTAAAAACTTGACCAACCAATAAAAGCAAAATTGGGGGAGAGGAACATTCACCTAATCATAGTATGACCATTGTGCAAGCTCCCCATGGGTACACCAATGTTGATGTAGACACCATCTTTGGAGAGCCTTTTGAAAGGCTCAGCCTCATAGGAAATGATGATTGTGAGTTTTTCTCTGCACTGCAGTGGGGATGTATAACTTTCCCTTTGAACTATTTTTTTTTTCCAAATGGACAGGTCAGAATATCTCTGATGCCTTCTGCTGACTTTGAGGCATCTCCTATGGAGGAGAAGGAAGATTCCTATTGTATCTGTGCAAACGGAAGGAAAACAGTGTCATGGATGATGACCCCTAAAATTCTAGGTAAGTGTATAACTCTAATAGTGGAGCCATTATTTAGAAGATGACCTTTTCCCTCCATGTGTAAAGCAAATCAAGGAGCAGCGTTTTCATTTCCTCCTAAGACTGTAATGTATGTAAGAAAGATCTTCTGGCACATGCATGTATGCCAGGCAGCTGATCTTCCTGTGTGCAGGAGTGCCAGAAACCAGAAGAGCAGCTCCGTAGCATGCATACACAATGCCGGCAGCTTATCATGTGTACATGCGCGTTACTAACTGAAAGACCAGGGGGCCAGCACTCATGTGCACACCAGGAAGCTGAGCTTCCAGTTTCCCACGCCCATACATGTGTGTGGCTGTATGCTGGCACTTGGTCCATTTTCAGCTTGCACGTGTTCCCGTTTTGGCACTTGGTTCCGAAAAGGTTGACCACTACTGCTATAGAGAGTATCTTCTGATCCTCTTGCATCTCCCCACTATCCAGCCACAGGGTCTATTGTCCCTTATCCGACCATGTCCCTTGGCAGGTTCTCTTTGCCCAACCTTTTCTTGGTCCTTTCTACATCTCATTACTGTATCATCACCACCATAGCAATAGTGCTTTACAGCCCTCTCTAAGTGTTTTACAGAGTAAGCATGTTGCCCCCAATAATTTGGGGTCCTCATTTTACCCATCTCGGAAGGATGGAAGGCTGAATCCACATTGGCCTCATCTTTTAATGATTTCAATCATCGCTTGCGGGGTGGAATCTGGGCAATTGAATGGAGCTAAGTGTTTACTGGATGGATGTCCTTCCTGCAGAGTTCTTTTCAGCAGATATATTCTCACTGTGCCTAGAGAGAGAAATATTTGCCTCTACCTAGGTTCAAACTCACTGCCTCCTGATTGTGAGGTGAGAGCTCTACCTCCAGGCCACTGCACTTACTCACATACCGTTACTACGTAAAGGGACATATTGTAATGAGGTGAACCATTTCTGTTCCAGGGAAGATCAACCTTACAGCCAGTGCAGAGGCCGTGACTTCAAATCAGCTCTGTGGTAATGAAGTCGTGGAGGTGCCCACCACTGGAAACGAAGACGTCGTGATCAAGTCGTTATTAGTTGAGGTATGTGGGGTGCTTTAAACCCAGGCTGGGTAAGGAGAGGACGCAGATGTCTGAGTAAAGCGATGGTGGATATTTTGTGTTAAATGTCAGAGATGACTCTGAGGAAAATGCCAACAGCCAGCAATTTATCCCAGTTAGTAGAGTTTACCAGGTCAAGAAAAATGCTGTGAGATCATCTATCTGAGCTTTGGAGTGTTCCTTGGGAGAAGTCTGGCAAGATCTGAAGGGATCCTGTTAGTGGACCCGGTTATCTTTTTTTCCCCCATTTTCGCTTTCTTCTCCTTTGGATTACACATTTTACAATACAAAACATGGCTACTATAAGGCATGAATTACTACAACAAAAGGGGGATCTTTTTAGAAAGCCAGCAAATGATAGAAAAAGGGATTAGTCAAGACTTTACATAAAAAGGGTTTTTTGTGTGTGTGTGTTTTTTGTTTTACATAAAAAGGGTTATGACACTGACATCCCCATACTCTGTTGAAGACGTTACCTAGCCTAATAATGAAAAGTTCGGAAACCAACCCACAAGCTCGGAGAATGAACCTTCACACTCAAAAATTACCTTGTTAGGAAACAACACAAAGCAGTTCTGTGTTGATCTATCCAGCGATATGAATTCTAACAGATAACAGATAATCAGAGTTGGAAGGGACCTTGTAGGTCATCTAGTCCAAACCCCCCCCCCTGCCTAAGCAGGAGACACTACACCATTTCTGACAAAGGGCAGTTCAATCACCAACCACAATCTTTTGGGTACAACCACATTTCTTCTTGGTGCTCATCTACTTAACTCACATATTATGTCTACAGCGATTTTACTACATGACTCTTAACACTCCTGTTCACCTCTCCCTTTTTCCTTCCCTTTCTGTTCCGGTGAAGCCTGAAGGGATTGAGAAAGAAATGGTGTTCAACTCTCCTCTCTGTGCATCTGGTACGTTGCTCCTGTAGACACAGTTCTTAACTTACTCTAAAAGCTCTTTTTTGAAGTGCCTCCTTCCAAAGAAGATCAACCCCCCCCACACCCAGGTATTCATGAAAGCCTAGAGGAGAGGAAAGAGTGGGGAGAAAGGATATAAACATTGGATATGGTCTCTTCAACAATTTGATTCCTGCTAAAATCACTACTGTAGCTCAGCCTTCTAAGCAGAACTTGCACCAAGAGACCAGTTAGAACAGCAGTGCCACCTGCACCATGATCAAAGTTTTGCATCTCTTTTATAGCAGAACCCTTGTCCGAATCTTTTCCTCTGACATTACCGGAGAATGTTGTAGAAGGCTCAGCCAGGGCTTCATTTTGTGTGCTGGGTAAGTGAGATACCATCTTAATCATTATAGAAATTAATTCTGTTCTTGGACACTCCCACATAAGGTCCTTGGGTCAATCTGGAAGCCACTCCTATTCCATGTACAAGTTGTCCTTAACTTGCCACAGTTTGTTTAGTGACATTTGAAGTTACAACGGCCCTGAAAAAAGTGAGTTATGACCACCTTTCACACTTACTGTACTACCATTACAGCATCCCTGTGGTCACATAATCAAAATTCAAATGTTTGGCAACTGACTCATATTTATGACGGTTGCAGTGTTCTGGGGGTCATGTGGTCATCTTTTGCGACCTTCTGACAGCAAAATCAATGGGGAAGCCAGATTCACTTAACAACTTGGTTACTAACTTAACAACTGCAGTGATTAACTTAACAATTGTG